ACTGCTCCTGCCTCATGCATCCAGCAAAGCATAAAGGGGAGAAGAACAGAAATAGAAGTGAGCAGAACAGGACTGGCTATCATCACTCAGCCAATGGGACTTTGCAGATCATATTTAGAAAGGACAAAATCCACAACAATGACCGGCCACAGCTCGTCAGAAGCGATCACATCAAACCAGCAGATCTTAATAAAAGCCCAGCGTGCCGGAGAGATGTGGGTGTGGGGGAGTGACTGCAGCATTGTACGTGCTCACCCACACATCAGGGGGGCTGCACTGCAGGGCAGGCCTTGCCCAGGGCTGGGCAGAGTGGATGTGAGCGGGTGGGGAGGATGGAGCTGCTTTGCCAGGGGCAGCAGAGCCCCTCGGGGGCAGCAGAGCCCATCAGGGGCAGCAGAGCCCATCGGGGGCAGCAGAGCCCATCGGGGGCAGCAGAGCCCATCGGGATGCGCCAGAGCTCCGTGACCTCCTGGGGAACGAGGGAACAGGAGACAGTGGCACAGCCAGGGAGGGCTGGCTGTGCTGAGGGCAGGCAGAGCCTGCACTCACAGGCCTACACTGCATTTACCAGCTGGGAACCTGGGAAACCTGGAAGGGATGGGACCAAAGAGTAAGAATCCTTCTGGGTAGGAGCAGTTCACTTGGGTGTTCCTGGACTGATGTCAAAACATGAACCAGGATGTTTTGTGGTTAAAGAGGTTTCAAGAGGCTTCCAATTTCAGTCTTATTTTGGCGGTTTGATTATTACTTTCCTGGGATCATGAGGTTTGACTAGGATAGGGAATCATAAAGGCCTGGGTTAGGCTCCTAAAGGTGTAATACTTGGAAGTACTAAAACACATCTCCAGCCTGCATACGGGAGGAAGAGAGGGAAGAGGGAGCCAACCTGTGAACAGCAACAGCTCAGGTAACTCCTGCAGTCCTTTAATTAACGCTTCCAGTCTCTGGAGCCCAGCTTTGGTGGCTGTTTAACTAGTCTGGAGGGATTAGGATTCTAACTGTTGAACTGTGGGGAATTGCTTGAAAAACAGTCACAATAGCACAAAAAAACCCCGAACTGAGAGCAGTGGCACAGAGGCATCTCTGCATCACTGAGGTTCAGCTGTGCACGGGGTCAATTGCCAAGCTGCTAATGCACAGTGAAGATTAATTGGCTTTGGTCAGCCTTTGCTTCACTATCTGAATATCATTATCAGGAATGTAAATGATTATGCAATGCAGAGAAATGCCACAATAGTCTCAGTGTCTCCTTTTGTACTTGTCTCTTTTTGAACAGGGCTTTATCTAAATGCAAATGTGATTTCAGCCTTCTGATTAGGACATTATACAGTCATCCATTCCAGAAAAGCACAATTAGCGGATTATTTTATTTCTGACTCAACAGTTCTTGGTTTAGATAGTTTGTTTGTTGTGCTATGCATGATATTTAAGTTATCAGAAGGAGATTTACATTATTAGTCAGGATTATAGCCAGATTTTGTGAGGTCGAGGGTTTTTGCTTGGCAGATAAAAATGGTAACATTTGTGGGATTCAAGGGGCGATGTTTTTAGAACAAAAGGCAACAGTACAGATTTTTACAGTGCTTCATTGTGTCAAGGAAGGGGCAAATTACGGCAGTAACTGTGCAAATTCTGCAGTGCTTTGGGATGTCCAAGGGCAGAGTGGAGCCTTACCTGCTGTCAGGATCTAACCTCTGTTGTGGTGTGCTCATGCAGGGCCCCAGTACCCTGGAACTTAACAGTGGGGCAGGTCATGAGATCATTTCTTATTAAACAGCCATTTTACCAAAATAGCCATCAAGTTTTCTGTGTGCTGTGGTGTGATATCGCCAAGATTGAAATTACATTCTCAGCAAAACATAGATCTGTGGTGATAAACTTCCCCAGGAAGCTTGTCCATTTCACAGCATTTGTAGCATTTTTGGAGCTGAGAATCTGTCAGAACTCAGGGTTTATTTTTTTTCGTTTGAGTATGGGAGTCTCATGCAGTTTAGGTTTGATAATAGACATGGTGAAAATTTCCATCTTCAAATCTGTTAGAAAGTCCAGTCCTTATGGGAAGGTGAAGGATTTTTTTCCCCCCAAAATTCATCGTTGCAAGTGTATTTGTCAGGTGATGTGGATTCAACAGCTCATCATTTTCCTGGGAAAAATTACTGCAGTGGAAAATTCCCAGTTATCTATAGCGAAAGAACATTTTCAGTTCCATTGATCAGTTTAATCTTTCCATATTCATATGTTTCTGTGCCTGGCTCATTGCTCTCTCCCAGAGCTGCTTTTCTTTCTGCTGGGCCAAGCTGTCCTGGGCAGTCCCAGCACATGAGGGATCTCTGCATTTGTGACAGGAAATCTATTGGACCACTTAGGTTTAATTAGAGCACAGTGACATATGAGGAGTCTACACATCAAAGCCTAGAAACAACTCCACAAATTGGCTCTGGTGCCAAAGTGTATTTTGGGATCTGTATTGAATTTTGGGGGGTTTCACTGTATTTAGTGGCAATGTGTGAAATGCAGGGTCGGGTTCTTGGGGTCAATGGGACTATAGCCATTCTTACCAGCTAAGCATCTAGCCCAAAAAACCTGTGTGTAAAGTTACATTTAGGTTCAGGTCAACTTGAATCCAACTCTATATTCCAGATTTACATGCTGGTGAGTCCTGGTTGGTGATGGCAGTGCCCTGAGCTTCCACAAGGGATCTCTTCACCTCCTGTCTCTAATGTACTCGTGGCTTTGTCATTTCAAGCAGCAGGACTTACCACTGGAGCAATTTTTTCCTTCCATAAATGCATTTCATTTAAAAAAAGAGTGGATTTTGATGTTTCTCATATATTTTATTTATTTTAGGCAAGCTTAATTTGAGATGTAGTATCCAGATCCCAACTTTTTCTACTCTCCAGATTATGGAATGGGTCCATTTTTGTCTCATTGTTATTAATCTACATTATTTTCAAATACCCACTTTAAAAGTCCCTTCCAACCCAAACCATTCCATGATTACATTTCTATTTTCAAACTAGGACACAGGCTTGGAATCATCCTAGCTAATTTAGGCTTGTAACTGCAGAATCTAGTTTTGCTGCTCCTTCTGTGTTTCATGGAGAGAAGGGCAGGGATTAATTCAGTCTGTGTGTTATGAGTCACATTTTGGAGTTGCTTATCTTTCTGCTGCTTGGAGGGGAATGCAGGGATCTCTGCTGACTACTGGGTGTGTAATCACCTCCTGTACTTGAATGCCAAAGTGAAATGAATCCAAACCCAAAATGCATGGAGCTGACGCCCAGCACAGGTTTCATTGCACAGAGAAAATTATATTTCAGAGAAAAAAGCATTGGAAGAAAACAAGAGATGAACATGTTAAAGCCTGGGGGTATTTCAGTCTGTATTCTAAGCTGAACTTTTTAGCTAAAGCCACAATTAGCACATCCTGTGTGCTTGGAAAGTGAGGGAGCATTAAAGTAGGCACACTGAAGCCATTTTGGAAAGACAGCTCTTGGTCTGTATTTCTCAATTTTTGTAGTATCTTTCTGCCCTACATATGGGGCTTTTTTTAGAACAGTATCCAATTCCTGTAGTGTGTGAAGCCAAATGGCTTTTATTAAACAAATAAGGAAAAACAGAACTGGAATCAAACAAGCAGAATGAGAAGATTGCAGCAGCAGCAGCATAGAGCCAACTTATTGCCCTCCTGATGGAAGATTGGTTTGCTAATTGTTCATGAAAGCTAATGGAAACCTGTGAATGATTCTCAGGAGGGATCATTGTGGAGTCTTACCTCGTTTCTCACACTTTCCTGGAAGAACATCTCAAGTATCCCAAAGCAGACACAGCTCACGAAGCTCCAGGTGCAGAGAGTGGTGGTCAGGTGTGGGTCCTAGAGCAAGGTGGGAGCTTTGCTGGCACATCACTCACCCCTCAGGGGCTGCTGCACAGGGATGCTTTGGCAAAGGGCTTCGATTATTCAGGGTGTTGCTAAATGGATTTTGAGAAGGCACAAATGAACTGCACAGAACCCATTTCAGGTGTGAGGGAAGCTGTCAGTGTAAGTGAGCAGGAAAGGGATTCTGACATACGTCCTTCAAAGGGTTCTGCCTGTTAAGCCCATTGTGCATCTTAGAATTAGTTTTACTAATTTGCACCATCAGCTCATGAGACAGTCACTCTTGTAAGTGCTTCCTTGAGACAGCCATCTTACCCCTTGGAGGCTGGAAAAGCTTTTCCTGAAAAAACATATTTATAGGTGCATAATGAGGAGATTTTATCCACTGCAACAAGATCTAGTCTGTGCAAATATACAGCCCAGGCATGTGATAGCTGTGGTGTTCTACTCTGAAATAAATTTGGCTGGAGAACTTAAATTACTTAAGGAAAAGGAAAAAAATGTTCCAAATAATGAGTAAGTATCATAACAGGTACTAAAATAATGCCATGCACCTACTTCATTATTCAGTTGCTTATTTATTATCTTTATTCTTAAAAGTAATGATATAAAATGCTTTTTTCCAAATGTTAATTTAGTTCTCTGCAGATGGCAACCATCTGTTAAATGACAAGGCATTTACAGTCTTTGATTAGCACTTTATAGAGCTTGGATGAACTTATTGTTACAATATTTAAGTATAGTTATGGAGGTGAAACTTGGTAGATTTGTTCTTTTCCTGTTGCTGTTACCAAAAAAATGGAAAATTTCAAACCTGGCAATGTTTTTGCATGTGTTTGCCTTTACTTATCTATGTTATTTCGAGCTGAAGCCTTGACATTCTTTACAGAAGGACAATAATAGGAAATATTGTTAAATTCCAGCACCATTTGTAGCAATTATGAGCGTTCTCATTCTGGAAAGTCACCATGTGGATGAACTCTTAGGGATGCTCAAGGAAAGGGTTTGGAGGACTCAAAGGATCCTGGAAACTTCTGTGGGCTGTCATACAGCTCTGTGTACCTACAGAAAATCACACGGGGGGTCTGTTTGTAAAATCCTGGGATACATGTTCCTGTTCCCATCACAAGTGATCTGATTGCACGAGCCCCACTCTTTGTGTTTCAACACCTCGATCGGTGCCAACCAACCCCCTCTGCCCATGAGCTCGGCAGCTTCTGATTATTCACTTCATCCCGGGGTTTCTTCCAAAGCTCCTGCGAGTCACGCTGCTGATCCTCTATTCCCCGGCCCTGTTTTCCCTGTGTAACGATATTTCCGCTGTCGCTGTGTGTTTCTAATGGTGTTCACTGTGTGTCCCCGCAGCCCGGCGATGCCGCCCCTGCCGAGCGCGGAGCGGGTGCGGAGCGCGGTGCAGCTGTACCGGTACCTGCTGCGCTGCTGCCGCCGCCTGCCCGAGGGCAGCGTCCGCCAGCACTACCGGCACACCATCCGACAGGTCAGAGCCACCGCGGGGCTTTGGGCTTGGCTTTCCTCCTCCTACTGCTTGCACCAACTTTGTATAACTCCTGGCACTTGAAAAAAGTAAACCCGACTATTCTTCTGCAGGCTTGAGACGAGTGGATTTGTGAAGGAGTATGTGAAGGAGCATCACTTTTTGTTTGCTTCTGAAACCTTCTATTTTTATCGGCTTTCATCTCTAATTCTTTTGTTAGTCAAGAGGATGAACAATCATTCCTTACTCCATAAACTCATCTTTTATGGCCAAACTTACTGGTTCCTTGTCAGTCATTTTTTAATATATATATATACATATATATCTCCTACCCCCCTGGCTGGGTAAATCTCATCTGACTGTACATATTCCATACTTCATATGGAAGTGATTTCATGCCTTTGATCATACCTGTTGTCCCGTGTCTCTCTGGTTTTAATGTACCAGACAATTTCAGTTCTTGTTTTTGTTGATGATGTATGAAAAGAGTAAAATACTTCACATGAAATTCCATATGACCAGATTTGTTGTGGAAATAGCGTGGCCAGGTGGTACAATGTGTATCTTTACCTTTCCAGACCAACAGTTTATTTTGCATCAAATATTTTTCTGAGATTTAAAAGCAATCCTTATTTTGACAACTCTTGTGTTGCCTGGTCCCACTTGGGATGTTGCAGAGTTTCAAAGTTCATGCTGATGAAGATGACCCTGAGCGAATCCAGCAGATCATTAAAAGAGCCATTGAAGATGCTGACTGGGTGATGAATAAAGTAAGTGCCTCAGATTTTCTGTGTTTTGGTTTCTCCCAGCTCAAAACAAGAAGAAAAGGTTGGAAAGCGAGTTCTGAACAGGCAATTTTTGTGTTGACCTGGATGTTCAAGTGCCTGGGTGAAAGGAAATACCCAGCCAATAGGGATCTGTGATTGTGACAGCTCTTGTTTAAAAAATCTCTTCATCAATATAAACTAAAGATTTTTTTTCAGAACAAATAACAATTTAATTGGTCCCTGTGTCAGTCTTTGTTTCCATGAAGAATTCTATTAAATTTCAGCAATGGTGGCTTGTATAACCCTATTATAGGAGAAAAAAAACCCAAAATGCAGCATTTTGAAAGCCATAAATTGATATGCAGCATCAGCTTCCTCTAAATGTCTGTTGATTTTAATTTACCAAGTGACTGTTAAGTCCTTCTCTCTGCCAGTCCATGAAATCCAAATGAGAATTGTTACAGGAGCAAGCAGAGATAAGTCACAGATTATGAAATTATGGCAGTAGCCAAATCCCAGCAGTAACAGCCTGGTCAATAACTGTGCCTGAATCTGATTTTATTCTCCTACAATTAGAATTGTAGTCTCATTCTGAAAGAAAGAGAACAGGCTCATTCTGCTTCAGCCACAGAGGCTGTGGTCTGGTTCTGGGGAAAGCTGGTAATGGTGTGAGAGGAGGGGCAGACTCACAGTGCCTGCCAGGAGCATTATTTTATATTGCAGAGAGAAAACCTGTCAAATTTCAATCTAACTTAAAGGAGACGAAGGTAAATTTATGTGGATCATGAAGAGGGTTGTAAATTTTTGTCAGCATGAACTGTTACTTAGTTATGTGCTTTTTCCCACAAAAAACTTTTGTTTTGTTTTTTTTTCAGTATGAAAAACAGAAGAAGAGGAAGGATGAAGACAAGAAGGACACTGGTAAACATCCTTAGAGGACTTGCAGTCAAGCCCAGTGCTGTATTAGAATTATTGCCTGAAGTTTTCTCTTAGATACTACAAATACAGTAATTTATATCTCACTGGAATGTCATGAAGCTAAATTAATATTTCTGAAGCTATTTAAGTATGTAAATGAAAAGGCACAGTGGAGGTTAAAACTATTGCCTTGTATAATCACAAATTTTAAGTTAAAGCCCAAACTTGTCTAAGCTTTGAGTAACTTCCTCCATTGTATGTTAGGCCTGGATCAACCCTGGCAGTGTGTGAGACATTTGTGCAGGTTCTTTGGTGACAAGGCTCCCCTGCATCAGCCACTGTGGATTTCAGTGACTGAGTTCAGCTCGTGTGTGTGTGTGTGACACTGATGGCACTGTCCTTTTAGAGGTCACATCATCCTCTGTGGGGACCAGAGGTGTGTTCAGAGCGAAGCAGAGGTGTGAGCAGAGCACAGGGCTGGGTTTGATCCAACAGCAAACTCAAAAGCCTGGGCTGCCGAGGGGAGAACGTGCCATGAGAACTTTCACCCCTTCTGAAGGCTGAACCACAGTATTTTCCGCTTGCCTGTCCATGCTACAGTCACATCTTCACTCTGCTCTGTGGGCCGTTGGACTGCTGGCTGTCTCATCAAAGTCAGGGGCTGTCACTGGTCTGAGCTGCCACGGGAACAGCCCCTGCTCTCTCGGGAGCAGCCCCTGCTCTGTCAGGAACATCCCCTGCTCTGTCAGGAACAGCCCCTGCTCTCTCGGGAACAGCCCCTGCTCGCTCGGGAAC